ATAGCCTCTTGAAACAATATTCAGTGAACAGGGAGGTCTGGAGTTTTTTTTAAAGCATTTAAGGGATCTATGCTGAAAAAAATCAAATCTAAACTAAATGTGATCCTTGTTCTGTTTAGATGGTGGAGGAGAGCGAGGAGCGGCTGTCGGAGGAGCAGATCGAGAAGCTAATTCAGGACGTGGCAGGCGTCCTCCCAGGTGACCCAGAGCAGGAGAACGCCACTCCAGCCGATGCAGAGATGGATGAAGGGGGAGAAGAGTCTTGACATGGTGGCAAGACTGAACATGACCTTTATGTGGAGAACTGGTGATGAGGCCAAACACGTTGCAGAACTGGTTTGACTTTCCGCAAGTTGCATCTAAAGCAACACAAGGACAGGATGCACAGGGACTCTAAGGCTGCAGCTAAAAGCTGGGTTGTTTTTCTTGTTGATTTGTTCAGCTATTTTCCAATAAACAGTTTGGACCAAAACATGCTCAGTGGCTTTTAAACAAAAGCTTTCAGCCTCTTAAAAAAATAACATTCAAGAGAAAAATGTGCTAACAGAAATAGACAAGAGTTCTTCCTTTGAAATTATGACTTAATTACTTCCTTATACACACATAGGTAATGTAGTTACCTCTGTAGTTTAGGTTCCAAACCATAAACAAAACATAGTTTCTACTTTGAGAATCTATTTCTATAAGGAAGGACTGATAAACGAATTGTTTTTGCATGACTTTGTTTTAGTGTTGTTCTGTTGCAGCAGAGGGAGGATGTGTTGGTTAAGTGTGAACGCTTCAGAATTTTCCCTTCCTGTTGGCATATACAATCAGTTTCCTGTTCTTACTCATGTTAGCTTTATTTTTATTGATGGTGTGTTAGTCTGAGCTTTCCTTTAAGCTCATCTCCTTAAAGAGTTGGAATGCAAACGTAGAGCAACCAGTAGCTCCTTGGCTAAGAGAACTTTGAGTCTGCAACCTAGAATAAATGTTTCTCAGCTTTTTAGAAAAACTGCAGACTTTATGTGTGACACAAAATATAATTTTTCACTGGACCCAAACCACAAGCTGCTAACATCTCTTAACCTCGATCTCTCATACTTGGTACTTTGCAGCTTATCCTTCTTTTAGTAAGGAAAACTAAAACTAACTATGGTTGTACTTTAACATCTTCCATTAATGGTTCATTATTGTCTCATTATTTTTAGCTTCATGTTGGACTAAGATGTGTCTTATGTTGCAGTAATTTGATCAGCCTGTTAATAGGACAAGGCATTTAAACCAGGAGACCGTTAAAGCACATGTTGCTTTTTGGCTTATTTGACCTGAATAAATGATAAAATTATTGGTGAGAAAACAATCCATAAAGATGTATTGTTAATTCCTCTTTCATTGTTTTTTGTACTATCCTCACCACTGATGGACAAAAGGTTTAACTTATGAATTATAGCAAATGCTTCAAGTACATTCCTTATTATAAAAATTGTAGGTTCTGGCAAAAATGACTATAAAAAACTAAAGTTAGACATATCTCAGCCAAAATAGACGCCAGCAGAACTCTTAAAAGTCCTGTATTATGGAAATATTATAGAGAATCTTAACAATGAGGCCCCCAGAGTTTGCTATTGTCATTTGTGCAGGAAAATTCATCTTAGATTAGGCAGACAGCATGTACCAAAAAGCTCCTTATTCAGCCATCTACTAAACAAGTTGTTCTGGCTTTCCACCCCCGTCCTCCCGAAGGCCGCGCCCCCACAACCCACAACCATGGCACCCAGTCAGAGTTCTTAAATATGGCAGCTTGAGATAATACATTAGATATAGGCTAGAGCTTAACCGACTGGCTGCTACAGACCGCTTTTTTCCCCCTGGTGATGTCAGGAGGGGAATTTCTTTCAAACAAAACATTTTGAGCACATTAGAGGGGAAGAAATATGGGGAATATTTTTTTCTTTTATGTTTATGTATGTGTTTATGTTTCTTTTAAAGTTTATGATAGGAATCTTGCACAAAATTGAAAAAATATTTTAGAACTGCATAGATTATTATTGATGAGAATAAATGTTCTTAATGCTAGTTGTTAATCTTAAAGGAGCTTACAAGTTGAACTTTAGGCCAAAGGTTTTATATGTTATTTAAGACGGAGGAAGTGAGTCTCTTCTATTTTGAGGAAATGCAAGAATGATATTAAATTAGGTAAAAGTGTTGAACCTACATTTATTTGCCTTTAATCTAAGCAGGTAAATAAGATGCCGGTTAAATGTTTATTTCTGCCCTTAAAATTAGATAGTTAAATATTATTCTTTTGAAATAAAATAATGCTTTGTCTGAATGTAAATCCTCTCCTTCCATCTGCAAATTGTCTTTATTACCTGCTCAAATTAAGGAAAAAAAAACATTTTAAGAAGACATACTTAGAGTTTAGTTTTTGGAGTGTGTTAGTTCCTTGTTTTTATTTTCATTTAAATGTATTGCTGTAAGCTGTTAAACAAAAAACGAAAGTGCCAGATTTACCACGTAAAACCAAGGGTTTAGCCTGATTTCACCTCAGTAAGCCTTCTTAAACCCTTTAGCATTCCACAGGACAAACATAAAGACGCACAAAGATAGCCCTTCAGAAAGGTCGGAAGCATAAAACCTTCCTATTGGAGGAAAACGAACAACAAAATTAACCAAAAGCTGCTATTGGCTGTGCTTGGATACAGTTATTTGCACAACCACACTGAATTTTAATAGGATTTCATGGGAAATGCGAGAACAGCTCAAGACAGGGCCCAATAGAACCAGTCCTGACCCCTGTTATGGCTTCTATACTACATTTTTGTATATATATAATTATATGCACTGCTGCAGAGAGCATCATTGATTGCTCCCTTGGTTCTATGTAATTTTTACCTTTACAGTTTTAGTTCAACAATGATTTAAAAATTTTGTTTCACTTTTAGCTTCAGTTGTATTGAAATAGGATGGGCTTTTCAGGGTTGCACTGATTGCAGTTTTCTTGCAGGTAACATATCTTTAAAAGGGCTGACATGCCGATTCTGATTATTACAGATAACAATATTTTCATAAGAGTGGGTCAAAGATCACACCTTGAATGTTTTAATTTAATTTTATTGCGGTGGAAAAAAAACAATGTAAACACCTGTGCACCAATAAATACATGTTTTATCTGCACAAGGTAATACTCTCAAATATAAGTGAAAACTTTCAAGCCTTCCCGTAAAAGTAAAAAAAAAAATATATTTACTGGACTTGGTTTCCAAGATTTGAAGATGTTTCGCCACCTCTCCAGGAAGCTTTCTCAATTCAAATGTCTGGATCCGCAGTGAGTTTGAGTCTTTTTATAGACAAGGCCTTGTATTGCTTGGAAACATGCAAATGGAAACCGATGAGTGGGTCGTTTGGTTCCATTGTTAGCCTGTAATATCTGAAACCTGTCTATGATTCTGAAGGTCGGTCATTAAAGGGGGGGGATTGCCGTTAAGGGGGGGATTGTCTCCTGTAATACCTGAAACCTGTCTATGATTGTTAAGATTGTTATGATTGTTTCAAGCATTGATACTGGCTGCTTTTCATCCTCGCCCCCTAAGTAAATTTGCTCTAGGATCGTCACTGGTCATAAACAACACAAAAAAGTGTTTATTTGATAGGTGGAAGAGAAATTATACATTATTTATAATTCATTTACTCTGAAAAGGTTGACATGCATTTTTGTAAGCCCCCCTGAGTCAATCCCTGGTAAAATACTAGCAGTGTCTTCTAAGGTATTGCTCTACAAGGATTGCATGTTGAGAGACTAAAAATGTTGCCAATTCTTTTTTACAAAGTTCATGAACATCAATTTTCTGAGAAGCTTTAACTGGACTATCATAGCCTGCTTTGATCTAAACAAGTTCCAGTTCTGCTACAGCTTCATGCACGGAGTGTGAGACATTATCCAACAGATGTTAATTTAGTTGGGATATTTCGATAATATCCAAGTAAAATACATTAAAGTTTGTGGGTGTGATGTGACAATTCATGAAAAAGATTTCACTTTTTTTTAAAAACACCATTCATTATAAGTTTTTGAAGAAAAAAAATAGATATTAAAACTAACAAACAAAAATTTTCAGAAGTTGTCTTGACAGTTTTTTTTTTTAATCAAATGTGTCAGATACTAAATTTCCTGTTTCTCTCTTCACATGATTTTGTGATCATTGCAGTTTTCCCAGCAATGGCTCAGTAGAATTCACAGCTGTAATGATGGGACCTTGAACTGCAAAACCCCTCATTTATTTGTTTTGATTTAGGTCAAAGGTAATGGGAAAGCAGTGTAAACAGTTTTCAGAGTTTACAGACCTGGATGCACCAGTCTAGTGTAATAGATGCCCTGCAGCTCATAGAGCTCCAGCTGTATGAAACTATTCCTGACTCACTCAGTGCATTCAATCAAAGCAGAGCTAATGCATTATTGACACAATGTTATGCTGGCTGTTGCCTGTTGTAAATCTGTAAAATATCATGATGGATACTTGTTGGGATTGAGTTTGAGTAAAACCCACTCTTTTATTATCATTGCCAATGACACCCTTGATCAATTATTTATGCATCTCATTACTTTTCTAAAACCGTCAGTGGTTCTCTAATGTCCTGTTTATTAAGTTTTCTCATCAGCTTTGGTAACACTTGGCCTTTAATTCCTCAACAATATCCTTGGTAGCTTTAAAGCAAACAGGAATCTGTAGCTAATGAAAAGATGGTTAAATTAAACGTGGTAGTTCAACCCTCCAGTAAATCCCTCACTCTGATTACATTTCCCTGGTGGGCTTTTACTGAAAGCATACCAATCGATGCGGTAAAGTAATTTTAGTCTCCAGTGGTGGGAGAGAAAAAAAAGAGCTGTCAAATAAGCGGAATTATCCTTTAACGTTTCCACCAATGGTAAACCGTGTTACTTTTCCGCTTTTACGCTTATCCAATCAGCGGCGAGTTCTCTTTGCTTCGTGTGTCTCGTGTCGAATGTGTGTTTTTTTCCGACTGTAACAGAAAAAAAAAACGCAGTCGACGTTCTCGTGAAAGTTCAGCCGGGATACGCAGAGAAGAAGAGCGACTTATTCTCTTATTTATGGACATTACGGTATTTGACGTGGGGCTGGTAACAGAGAGGGGAAAAGGGGGGAAATAGTTCTGGGAGGACAGCCGTTTGGATCAACGTTCTTCGGATATTCGACAGTTTTTCAGACGGAGGTGAGTTGGTACCGTTGTTCATTTCAAACCGCGGTTCCCTTTTAGTCGGAATTAGTATTTTTACTCCAAGTAGAGGTGGGTAAATGGTTGCTGTTAGCAGGCAGGTCATTCACCTGGCTCTCTGCGACGGAGGGTGGTTCTGTAGCCAGGCCAGATGTTCGTGGCTGCTGGGCCTGGAGGAGGGGGGTCCGCATCTAAATGGGTCCATAGACCGAGCTGTGTCTATTAATGTAATTCGCTGTCATCGTTTTGTCCACAGTGTCAATAGCAGATGCTCTACAGTTGTCTGGATTTAAATATGGAACCTGCATGGAAAGGTATAAAGGAAGGGAAATTAACCGATTGGAGGAAGGAAGAGAAAATGAGAGCAACGATGGAAGGAAGGATTGCCTGATGGTTGGAAACAAAAAAGATGTGTAAAGATGTATGAAAGGGGTCAAATAAGGATTTCCCTGTGAAAATTATAAAATGGATACTCCTTTCCAGGCTTTGTTTTCCACCCTACCAACATTATGAATTTATTTTTGTCTTTTATCGTGCGTGTTAAATGATTATGTAAACATTAGGAACCTTTATACCATCAAGAATGTAAATAATTTATTTTCTTTATATGGGACGGTTCCATTTTTAAAGAGACAGTTGGTAAGAAAGGAATGAATAGATGTTTGATAAAAAAAGGTAGGAAGCAAAGAAAGGGAAGGAAGTCATGCTGCAGGGAAAGAATGGGGAGAAAGAAAAGAAAAAATGTGTATGATGGATTGCACATATTTTATGTAATAAACAACAGTTGTTTTAATTAATTATTAGAGATCCTTTTTGACATTTGAAAAAAATGTCAGACTTGTTAGATCCCTTTTTGTTTTTAAGATGAACTCATTCTCAGCAGGAACCTTTGATAGGTTATATTTAGTATTCCTGTTATAAAACGGTAGCTGTTTAATATTTAAAATAAATATCAAACGTAAATGCAGTCTGCCTGCAGTCAGGGGCGGATTTACCATTAGGCAATACTATGCAGTTGCCTAGGGCCCCAAATTCCTGGGGGCCCCATAAAATTCTGTTTGCATGTATGGTTAATACAACTATTCCTTATTTGTGCACATTAAGTATGTTTTTGATAAAAATCCTTTCTTTAAATTGCCACCAGAATGCTTATTAACCATATTGGATCAGTCCATTTGCTGAACATGTACAGAAAGGTCCAAACAAACAGCAGCAAACTTAGCACCTTTGCCGCTATATTTAGCGACTTTTCACACCCCTCTAGCACTTTTATTAAAAAAAAAAAGGCACCTGGTGCCAAATCTAGCGACTTTTTTCTGCTACTCGAGACTTTGGCGACCACATGTAAAAGCACAAAACTCTGCTGTCCACAGCAAGTAGATTGGTAACCACACCTCCTGCCCTTCTTTATGTTGTCTGCTGTCATGATTCATGCAGCTGTTATTTCATCCAAATGAAAAATGGAGAACAGATAAGGAGATAATGGCTTGTCTACAATGAAAAGAAGGAATGTATTTACTTTTGCAGTCATCTATTTGGAAACACAGGGAGGAGCAATCGGCTAAGTAAGCTTTTAGTGATTGGAAAATTCTTTAATTCATTTTGAGACAGCATGAAAAGTCAGCTAAGTACAAAACATAGAGAGGAAAACAACAAGAAAAGGTACAAGAAGAGAGGGACAAAACCTAGAACAAATAATGGATGTCTATTCTATTAAAATTTTTGTGTCTGTATAATGGGTCTGTTGTACTGTCTTCTCAATTCAGAGGGCCCCCTGCCTGTCTTTGCCTAGGGCCCCAAATTTCCTAAATCCGCCCTTGCATGCAGTATCTCTTCTGTTATTACAACTCTAAATGCTGAACCGTGTGCAGCTTTATACAGAATGTGTCTTCACCGACACATAAACTCCATCCATCATATTTTCTGCTGTACCTGTGCATCTATCAAGCTGCAGGACTGCAAAGATTTAACAAAAATACATATTTATTTTTACTAGTAGTAGTTTTGTCTACCAATCAAATGTTTACATTGTCAGGAAGTCTGCTCTTAAACACAACTCCTTAGTTCCTGTTTCCTTAAAAATGTTTACTAGCCAAAACTTCAACTCTTACCTGTTAGTACCCTATGGTCCCCCGGGCACCAGTCTGTTTAGCTCGCCCTGTTGTTTTGCCTTTCTATGATCTGGTGTCATGGTGGCCTTTCCCAGTTTGAACCTGAATCCTGACAGTGGCTATACTTTCTAGAAGCCCCTTTCTTCCCAGTTTAACCGCATGAAGTTTTATTTTGCGGCCCTAACTTGGCTGTTTCTGAAACTTATGAGGACAAATGATGTATTTGCAAGCCTCTTTCTACTAAAAAAAACAACAAAAAAACAGATAAAAATATTCTTTATAATGTGATCTTGAAGATGTTTAATTTGGCAGAAGCGAAGTTATTGTCAGGGATCCAAGTTTATTATAGGAATGTTTATTTTGATCGTGATTTTTCTCAGTTGCAGCTTGCCAAATCTTAACAGGTATAGATTCAGGATTTGAAAAAAGTTTGATGATTAAAATTAATAAAAAAACGGACAAAAATACATGACAAAAAAAATTGTTAATTTTTTTGTCATGTAAAAAGGAATAAAAGCCCATCCTGGTAATCAATGTTTTGGAAAAGCATTCAAATTAGAGCACATGTTAAACTCATAGGTGCCTTTTAACGCTTTGAGGCCTTACCTTAAACTATTTTTTTTGGCCATTCCTAATTCACCACATGGAGGTTTAGTGCTGACCACGTGGCATCCAGATGTTAGGATTTCTCCACTTTCAATCTGAACAAGATGGCAGGAAACCTAACCCTCAACCCCTTTTTTGCCACCGTTCGCAATCTTTATTTTCCATGCTGCGAAAAAGGAAGTCGATTAGAGCTTGCACTAATGAAATGTTTTCTGTGCACATTGCAGAAAAAAAAGATATGGGGAAGTTGCAGAATGTCTTACTCGGTAAGTAGTAATATCTCCTTACACAAGTATTGCTGAGTGTGTCGGTTTATAAAGAAGGTCAGTTAAAAAATAAAAAATAAAAAAACATGAAAGATTTGTCATTGGCAGCTTCTGATATGTTGCAGTTTGCCTGAAAATACAATTAGTTCCATTTGTGTGGCAGGGATCTTGCATAAACAACAGTTTCCACAGATATCTGCTGGTGGATCATGACTGACTCATACTCTGGCTAAAATTCAGAGCTCTTTTTTAAAATTGTAAATAGGATAACTATATCTGCCGGATTAGTCAGGAGGTATTGAAACCCTGATCCTGGAGTGATCTCTTCTAAACTGTAGTGCTGTGAATAGTCTTTAACTGTCAGTGGGATAGAAAGACATTTAAGTGTGTCCTTATGTTTTAGGTTGGAGTCATGGCTAATAGACGTGGCTGACTGTGGGGTGCAGCAGGGTCAGATCCTGCAGTGCGAGAACAGGGCATGACAGCTGAGGAAGATTTCCAGCCTTCAACATCTCTACCCTCAGTTCCAGTTACTGTTGGACTCGTCCTCCTTGGTCTCACTATGTGCAAATAAACCCTATTGAATTTTAAGACTGAAGATTTCCTCACATCAGCTGCCAGCTGAGTATTAATCTATGTTCTTCTGGTTTTAACAAAACAAAATCCCACAACAAACAGCCATGAGAGGCAGAACGAACCTGCTGCTGGGCTGCGTTCTGCTCTGCTCCGCCTCCCTGCTCTACTTGGGCATGAACGGGATGGACTGTCCTCGGAAGAGCCACCGCTACCGATGGATGGAGCTCAACATGGGCTCAGGCAATCAGAGTCTCCCCCTAACTGAACACTTTCCCGAAGACACACCCCTCATCTTCATCGGGGGGTTTCCTCGGAGCGGCACGACGCTGATGCGTGTGATGCTGGACGCCCACAACGCCGTTCGGTGTGGAGAGGAGACCAGAGTGATCCCTCGCCTCCTGGCTATGAGGGCTACTTGGAGTCGCTCAGTGAAGGAGAGAATGCGACTGGACGAGGCCGGAGTCACCGACCAGGTGTTGGACTCAGCAGTGCGAGCCTTTTTGTTAGAGGTGGGTAGTTGGTGCTGTCCGATGCTGGAGAACACCAGCACTAAGTAGCTTTGTTGAAATTCTTTCAGTTTTAAGTCCAAAAGATGTGTCTTGCATTGCTTTTCAGTCCCTCTTGAGTTTAAACCTTTTTAGAATCACCTTTTGCTGCAGCATCTAGAGCAGGGATCTGCAACCTTTTAAATGCAAAAAACTGTTTTACTCTCAGTCTAGCTAAATAAAAGTTGTTTAGAGCCAAAAAATATTAAATGATCTTTTAATAAAAGGCAAATTATTTTTGTTACATATCTGCTATGGGAAAGCAATTGTTGTTTTAAACAACTTACAGTTTATCTGTATGTTTACTTTTGAAAATAAGGAAAAGCAGAAGCATTTTTTTTTTCTATTTAATTTTTTTAATGAAAAATTATGTTTAAAAAAACATACTTTTCATGCTAATAATAAGAAAAAATAGATTGAAAAATATATTTTATATATGTTTTTTTTTTCTTTTTTTTTTTCTTTCTGTTGTGATGTTTCAGAGGCACAGGTTGCAGACCTCTAATCTAGCCGCTAAAATATTTGTATTTGTTGATTCTTCTCAACAAAACGCTCAAACTCAGTCAATCCTGATGGAGAGTGTCTTTGAACACACAGTCATGGAAGGAAAACAATTGGATCAACTGTTTTCTTAATCTTCTTTTGTTCTAAATAAATATTACTTGAAAAATACAATAAATATGACCAACAAGACAAAGGTAGTCGAATATTGTTTTTCATGACTGCATGTATCGTAATGTTGACAGAAAATTGAATTAAGCTCGGAACCATTGTTTAGATCAGACTGTTGTATTGCAGCAACGGAGATAAGGTTGGGGTCAGAGTCCTACTTGAATGTGAAGCTGCTCTGATTATTTCCACAGCCACTAAGAGGCCTTCTTCCAGTATTTGTTATGGCTGTGTTAAACCCCAATTTTATGTTATTTACTCCAGGTGATAGTCGGCCACGGGGAGCCTGCACCCCGCCTTTGCAACAAGGATCCATTTGCATTGAAGTCCCTGTCTTATTTAGCACGCATCTTCCCCAAAGCAAAGTTTGTGCTCATGCTGAGGGATGGACGGGCAACCGTCCACTCTATGATATCGCGTAAGGTAAGCTTGTTTTCCTCCTTGTTTTGATCATCAGGGTAGACTAACTTCCTTTATGGCTTAAGTTTCACTGGTTCATGTTTCCAAGCCTCTACATGCTGAATTGTGCTGATGCTGCACTATCTTTGAGGATGTTGTTGCAAAGACCAAAAGACTATAACAGCAAAATCAATGCTTTAGTGGAAGATTCTAGGTTGTTTTTTAAAATCTGACTCTAAATTGAAATATGTATATTTAACCCTCTGTGTTATCTGATTATTTTTCTTTCTGTGGCTTCTCTCACAGGTGACCATCTCAGGGTTTGACCTGACCAGTTACAGAGACTGTCTCACCAAGTGGAGCAGCGCCGTGGAGACCATGTTCAGCCAGTGCCAGGCAGCTGGGGAAGGTCGATGTCTACCTGTCCAATACGAGCGTCTCGTTCTTCGCCCAGAGCAGGAAATGAGGAAGTTGCTTCATTTCCTGGATCTCCAGTGGGACCCATCAGTGCTGCATCACGAAGAGTTGATCGGGAAGGCCGGCGGCGTGTCTCTGTCCAAGTTAGTATTTGACTAAATGCTCCTGCTGATGTCACACCTAACAGATCATTTCAGCTTTATGTTCTGCTACCACATTCTGCTGTAAATAAAGTATTCTTGGAATGTAGTTTTCATAAAGAACTGCTTCCCTTCCTGTTTGGGAAGTGAAGATTATTCAAGTGAAGATTTCTAAACATCAGTTCAGCAAGCTGGATGATCAGTCTACATTTTTAAGATAATCTATTGGAAGCTAATGAGCTGAATGTGTTTTTATCTGCAATTGTTGTAGCAAGGATTTATGGCACACATTCATCTACCTCATCAACTAAGATTGCAAATCTGTAAATGTAAATAAATAAAAATGCATAAGGAAAGACATTGCAGTCGTGAGGAAACATGGTTAGTTTAAACAAATGGATATAATACTGCATCTTGATAAACCAGATGATTTACCTTTCAAATCAAGGGAATGAAATGTTAGTTTCACTTTATTATCCAAACAGCTAAGACTGTCAAACAATAATTACAACTAAGGTCAGATATCAAGTTTTATATTGAAAAATGAATGTGGAGGTGCAGAAGAGTGATGAGCTCGAGTTACCCATTAAAAATGGCAAACAGTTTACAAAAAACTTTTGGGTGTAACTTTTATTATAAAGTAAAAACATAAATTAACCAATAAGAAGTGGTATATTATCTATTCAACAAGGCTGAGCTAATATGCCGAAACACCATGCAGGAAAATATCTACACTAGATACGCCACATAACTCAGTAGGTTCTCTGTCATTATCTCTTTTCCATGGGAATTTATCTGTGGAAGCATCTTCACCCAGTCATATTTACAGCAGAGCTTTGTTTCATTCAGCTTTGCATTTGTTTTCCAGCTGTAGGCTATCTAACAGCATATTTAAATGGGATTGCCCTCTGGACTCTATGGTTTCTATCACACATTTAGCTCTTTTCTGTTTCATCTCATCTTTGGTGGATTTGTCACTTTGTTGGAAATTGCTGTTACGCTGCGTGACCCCTTTCGGACCATGCTTTAGCCGTGTCTCACATTTGAATTTAAAATACACACAAAATGTCATGATTGATCCTGTCTTCTGTAGGGGTGTGGGAAATAATCGTTTTGGCGATATATCGTGATATTCGGCTGCCCAATATAATATCGATCTTTCACTTATTGGTATCGATAAAAAAAAATGGTTACATAAAACATTGATAGGAAAATTGGCTACCTCTGTACCACCACTCTGGCAGAAAGCGCTGTGGAGCCTTTTAACTGTGCGTGCAGCACCAAATCTTTATTTGAGGCAGTCACAGTGGAAGAAAACCCCAAACAACATGGTAATAATACCTAATCAATACTTTCTGATGAAAATATACAGCACTTGCTGTTTTATCTCATCATTTGATTTTGATAGCTGGGGAAAATATTGCAATATATAGTGATACTGCAATATCATGATAATATCGTATCGTGACCCAAGTATCGCAACATGTATCAAATCGCAACACTCATGCCAATACTCACCTCTAGTCTTCTGTGTGAGTTTGTTTATAACACGGCACCATAACACAGTTTTACAACATGGTGAATATGTTCATTTTTTGTTGTATTTAATAGTCATGTATTATTGTTTTAGTTACAGGTTGGTCATTTAAGTGTGTGCTATGATTAAAACGTAGATTTTTGTCCAACAATCAATAAAATAAAGATATACCTTTATTCCAAGATGAAGGAAATGGGGGAATGAAACTAATGCGGATTGTTTGTTTTTAACTTGATTAACATTCAGTGGAGGCACTTGTACCCTACTTAGACTATGTCCTCCACTGAGCTGCTCATGTTTTCTTTCAAAGCAGCCTAACCTCTCAGGGTGAAGCAAAGCTTGGAGACCTCCCACAGCACAGAATGTATTTGCTCACTTGTTGTCATTCAAGCAAAGCATCTTTCTGCAGGAAACCCGCTCAGGGGATTTGGTGGGAAACTGGCTGCTCTACAAGGCTAAACCCAAATCTCTTATTTAAAGGAATTAGGCTACACCCAGAGAGAATTAGCAATCTTTTTTTTTTTTTTTCGTTATTAGTTATACAACAGAGTGTTACTCAAAGATGTTTCGTAACCTTCTTTAAGAGACATGTTACTAAAAAAGCTTTAATTTTTTTCCTTCCTGTTTGGTATTCCTCTATCAATTTAGATTTTTGTCAGTGGTCATTTTTGGTTGATGGTTTAATGTAATTACATCTGGGTTTTTTTCTGTTTCTGTTCTCTAAATTTTTTTTTTTTTTATAACTTGTGAGTTTTAGTTTCACAATTATATAATTTTCTTTCACATCTAGTTAGTTTTGAGCTCCTTTATTTTTATCTTTCTGCTTTTTAGGAGCTTTTAAAGTTGGAAGTTTACAGATATTATTTCAGAATAGTTTCTGTTTTTCTTTACTAGTCTGAAGAGTTTAGCCTTCGCTCTGCTGGACCTCTAACTTGATGGCTAAACACAGACCTGACCTGTGTATTTGTTTGCAGGGTTGAACGCTCTACAGACCAGGTGATGAAGCCGGTGAACACAGAGGCACTCTCTAAGTGGGTGGGAAACATTCCCCCAGATGTCATCAACGACATGGCGGAAATCGCCCCCATGCTTGCACGACTGGGCTACGATCCTCACGCCAACCCTCCTGATTACACAGACTCACAGGTACAGTAAAGTATATTAGACTTTTTTCTTTTCAAACATCCAAATTTATTTTCTTCTCATAATTGGTTTCGGTGTGTAATTTCTATATACACATTATTAGATGTTAACTACTACCATTCAATAAAAAAAAAAAAAAACATGCTATATATATATATATATATATATATATATATTAGGGGTGGGTATTGCCAAAGAAGTCCCGATTCGATTCAAATCACGGTTCACATGCCACGATGCGATTCTATCACGATGCATCATGATACTTGAAATATTGCGATGCATCGCGATGCATTGTGATATTTTCACTGAACACTGTTAGAAAAAAATACAGCCAATACCAGTGGCTGACTGGCTGATCTGGATAGTGTTTTCAATTGATACATTGATACAACTGAATTCATACATTGCTGTATTTATTGAAACAACTTTTGGAGGTACTGCCATGACAAAAAAAATACTGGACAAAAATATTACTATTACTGTAGTGAACACACTGACAAAGAGTGCTTAGGATTTATAAAACTTGAAATAACAAAATAAGGATAATCAGTGCCTTTTACATGGCCTCAGTGGTCCTTTAAACCAATGAAATGAAAAAATTCAAATGTATATTTCCCCTTTTGCAAATTATGTGCGTCATATCAAATCCGTTTTTACCTTCTTGTTTTTAAAGCCAAAATGCATCCACACATCTGACTTGAAATGTGATGGAGCCGGGCGAAAAGTATTTCAGTCTCCTCCGTGTTTTGTTTATGAAAGACTCGTCGCAGTATCCCTCGGACGGAAATGCTTGTGACACAAGGCAGCGGGCGTCAACACATCCCGCAGCGACATCTACTAACTGGAAGCTGTATTCCACTTGTTTTTGGCGGATGTGCGCCAACCGTTCATGTATTTTATTTATTCCTTTTTTAAAATTAAGAATCGATACTTCACGTCAAGAATCGATGCAGTAGATCACAACAATTAGAATCACGATGCATCGTCATGACGATTATTTTGCACACCCCTAATATATATATATATATATATATATATATATATATATATATATATATATATATATATATACACTATATTGCCAAAAGTATTTGCTCACCTGCCTTGACTCACATATGAGCTTAAGTGACATCCCGTTCCTAATCCATAGGGTTCAATATGACGTCGGTCCACCCTTTGCAGCTAGAACAGCTTCAACTCTTCTGGGAAGGCTGTCCACAAGGTTTAGGAGTGTGTTTATGGGAATTTTTGACCATTCTTCCAGAAGCGCATTTGTGAGGTTGCACACTGATGTTGGACGAGAAGGCCTGGCTCTCAGTCTCCGCTCTAATTCATCCCAAAGGTGTTCTATCGGGTTGAGGTCAGGACTCTGTGCAGGCCAGTCAAGTTCATCCACACCAGACTCTGTCATCCATGTCTTTATGGACCTTGCTTTGTGCACTGGTGCACAGTCATGTTGGAAGAGGAAGGGGCCAGCTCCAAACTGTTCCCACAAAGTTGGGAGCATGGAATTGTCCAAAATGTCTTGGTATGCTGAAGCATTCAGAGTTCCTTTCACTGGAACTAAGGGGCCAAGCCCAGCTCCTGAAAAACAACCCCACACCATAATCCCCCCTCCAACAAACTTTACACTTGGCACAATGCAGTCAGACAAGTACCGTTCTCCTGGCAACCGCCAAACCCAGACCCGTCCATCAGATTGCCAGATGGAGAAGCGCGATTCGTCACTCCAGAGAACGCGTCTCCACTGCTCTAGAGTCCAGTGGCGGCGTGCTTTACACCACCGCATCCGACGCTTTGCATTGCACTTGGTGATGTATGGCTTGGATGCAGCTGCTCGACCATGGAAACCCATTCCATGAAGCTCTCTGCGCACTGTTCTTGAGCTAATCTGAAGGCCACATGAAGTTTGGAGGTCTGTAGTGATTGACTCTGCAGAAAGTTGGCGACCTCTTCGCACTATGCGCGTCAGCATCCGCTGACCCCGCTCCGTCAGTTTACGTGGCCTACCACTTCGTGGCTGAGTTGCTGTTGTTCCCAAACACTTCCATTTTCTTATAATACAGCTGACAGTTGACTGTGGAATATTTAGGAGCGAGGAAATTTCACGACTGGATTTGTTGCACAGGTGGCATCCTATCACAGTTCCACGCTGGAATTCACTGAGCTCCTGAGAGCGACCCATTCTTTCACAAATGTTTGTAAAAACAGTCTGCATGCCTAGGTGCTTGAATTTATACACCTGTGGCCATGGAAGTGATTGGAACACCTGATTCCAATAATTTGGATGGGTGAGCAAATACTTTTGGCAATATAGTGTATATATATATATAAATAAGTGGTGGAACATTATCGGAATTAATGTGCTGCATTGACTGCAGACTCTTGGGTGATAAAGAAAACTTCACTTTTAATTCTCAAAGTTGGGTTGGGAGCTGCGTCTATGATGACTTAATTCTTGATATTCTAGCATGTTTGCCTTCAGGTAAGTTGTTCATGCTAAAACCAAGGACCAGTCGTGAAGTTCTTTATTCATGCTTTCCAAAAAACTAGGAAATGCTTGTTCCCTTATATGCAACTGGTGAAACATTCTTCCAATGGTGCCATTGTTAACCCTTACAACTGCAACCTCCAGAACATAATGACTGCTTAGCATGAACTTAGCATGAATACTAACATAAACAACCCTCCATAACCCAAAACTAGCCTCACAGGACATTACAATGCCTGCCTGAGTGACTGTTGGAAAAAAGAGAAATAGAGCTTGGATTGACTGACACAAAGCTACTGACTGTAAACTGTTCATCATGAACTATTATGTAGGCCTACAGTTCAAAATTCATGTTTATCTGAATAAACACTTATTAAACACAAATACATGGTATTGAATAAATCTTGATAAATCTAGACTTATATATATATATATATATATATATATATATATATACACTATATTGCCAAAAGTATTTGCTCACCTGCCTTGACTCACATATGAGCTTAAGTGACATCCCGTTCCTAATCCATAGGGTTCAATATGACGTCGGTCCACCCTTTGCAGCTAGAACAGCTTCAACTCTTCTGGGAAGGCTGTCCACAAGGTTTAGGAGTGTGTTTATGGGAATTTTTGACCATTCTTCCAGAAGCGCATTTGTGAGGTCGCACACTGATGTTGGACGAGAAGGCCTGGCTCTCAGTCTCCGCTCTAATTCATCCCAAAGGTGTTCTATCGGGTTGAGGTCAGGACTCTGTGCAGGCCAGTCAAGTTCATCCACACCAGACTCTGTCATCCATGTCTTTATGGACCTTGCTTTGTGCACTGGTGCACAGTCATGTTGGAAGAGGAAGGGGCCAGCTCCAAACTGTTCCCACAAAGTTGGGAGCATGGAATTGTCCAAAATGTCTTGGTATGCTGAAGCATTCAGAGTTCCTTTCACTGGAACTAAGGGGCCAAGCCCAGCTCCTGAAAAACAACCCCACACCATAATCCCCCCTCCACCAAACTTTACACTTGGCACAATGCAGTCAGACAAGTACCGTTCTCCTGGCAACCGCCAAACCCAGACCCGTCCATCAGATTGCCAGATGGAGAAGCGCGATTCGTCACTCCAGAGAACGCGTCTCCACTGCTCTAGAGTCCAGTGGCGGCGTGCTTTACACCACCGCATCCGACGCTTTGCATTGCACTTGGTGATGTATGGCTTGGATGCAGCTGCTCGACCATGGAAACCCATTCCATGAAGCTCTCTGCGCACTGTTCTTCAGCTAATCTGAAGGCCACATGAAGTTTGGAGGTCTGTAGTGATTGACTCTGCAGAAAGTTGGCGACCTCTTCGCACTATGCGCGTCAGCATCCGCTGACCCCGCTCCGTCAGTTTACGTGGCCTACCACTTCGTGGCTGAGTTGCTGTCGTTCCCAAACACTTCCATTTTCTTATAATACAGCTGACAGTTGACTGTGGAATATTTAGGAGCGAGGAAATTTCACGACTGGATTTGTTGCACAGGTGGCATCCTATCACAGTTCCACGCTGGAATTCACTGAGCTCCTGAGAGCGACCCATTCTTTCACAAATGTTTGTAAAAACAGTCTGCATGCCTAGGTGCTTGAATTTATACACCTGTGGCCATGGAAGTGATTGGAACACCTGATTCCAATAATTTGGATGGGTGAGCAAATACTTTTGGCAATATAGTGTATATATATATATATATATATAGACCTCAAACTCTTCTGTGTTTTGTTCTTCTAACAATTTCTTGTAATGAGTAATCCTTTTCTTCTGTTCTTCTCTCAGAGATAAAAAAAAAACAGCACCAGAGTCTAATCAACCCAGTTGAAGATTCCGGCAGCTTTCTTCCATGTTTCGGCTGCTCCTTGGACGCGGATTTCCTTACCAGTCTTGAGCTCTCCTAACAGGGTTTATTTTGCCGTTGCACATCAATTTGTAAATGATCCTAAAGACTTGTTTACAGTATCCAAGTCTGCAGACTGGTGGAGTGTTTGAGTTAGACTCGTTAATCTCATCTCCACGTCTCTCATCCATGGTAAACAGTTTTACAGATTATTTACGCATCGTGTCGCCTCCTACCTGAAAGTGTTACAACATTTCTGAAATTGCTTCACCACAATGTGAATGTCTACAGACCAATCACTCACTAAGAGATCAGTCAGTGTTCATCAAGCATAATGACTGTATATATTTTTCAAGATGTATGTTTATTTTCTTAATAAATTATTTTGGTTGATCTTTTATGAGTTTTTTTGTGGTTTATTATGAAATTTGAATTAAGAGGATAAGTCCATTTTAACTATAATGTACATTACTCCAGAGATAAAGTCTTTCATGGCGCCCTCTGGTGGTGAGTTGATAGCACTTAATGCTCTTGATGAATCCCAGGTTGGCATATGGTATAAAGTGGAAGATAGCTCACTTTTTGTGGGTTTGGATCTGCTCAGACTGCCATACTTGATGGTCTCTGGATGTGAGTACTGCAGGCTCTGTATTTTGTTGTTTAATTTTGAACATCTAAGAAAAAACACTAAAGCTTTAAAGTTTGTAAAAAGCAAAATGTATTAAAATGCGACTACAAAAATTTAATAACATCTTTTGTCAGATGTAAACCGTAACTATTTTAATAATTAGTTTTGAAATAGAAATACAATTTTTTTTTTTTAAGAAAAAGGTTGTCTACCTTGTAAAAACTGATGTAAAACATGTTTTCATAAATTTGTATGAAACTATCTCCCATAGTCTCCCATGCTAAACTATCTCCCGATCTTATTTATGTTTCTCTTGGTATCCCATTGGTAGTATGGGGAGGAGGTATATATGGATTTTCTTGGTCACTACATGCACTGACTGAAATTACCTGTGAAGTGGTGGAGGGATATAAGGATATATTTAACCTTATTACATCATACACGTTTGTACTCTAGGAGACATCCAGGGCTCCAACCTTTTAATATTAATGTTTTTAGATCAAGGACACTGCTCTCGTTTCATTGCCAAATTTTGGCCAGATAAATTTTTATCCTTACAGAGGAACTATCCTAATTTGTTAAACTAATTGGCAAAACATTAGTTTTTACACTAACCGGCAGGTATTATTAAGGTTTAAAGGATTCACACATCATCAATAAAAATAATCATCTATAAGACATAATTGTAAATAACTAGATTGATGTGGATTATTCTTATTTAAACGCAAAAATTTTAATGATCTCTGATATTTTGCATCTTTGGCTTTTGGATGAAGCCTACATCACGACGCCGGAGTGACGTCGACAGAGGCCGTTTCCGTAGCAACTGTGGCCCGGGTCCGTTACCCGCAGCGGTCGCTGTTCAGTTCAGTTGAGCTCGTTGAGCGGAAGGGATTCTGTCGTCAGTTATCGGATTCCACCTCTACCTGCGGGGGTGTCGTGAAACGGGGGAGGCGCAGCTTCGAGGTGGGGAGCCCGCAGGCCCGTGCGGAGATGCTGAACATGTGGAAAGTCAGGGAGCTCGTGGACAAAGCGTGAGTACCAACAGAGATGCGGGGTCAGTGCTAACATGCTAAGTGGCTCCTGAGCTAACCGGTGATAGAGCGGCTTTCTCCGGGGCAGCATCGTCAACTTTTATCGCGTGATGGAGGAAAGGATACAGGCCTTTCAGCTCTTAGCTTTGATCGAGTGGCTAGCTGATAATTCATAATCATTGTGCCATAAATTCAAATGATGTGGCTTTTTTTTCCAGGGCAATGTGCCTCTTAGTTAGCTAATTCCGCTCTATGCAGGTCAGGTGTTTTTATCCCTCAGAGTGCTGCTGCAGCAGAGCCTGTCTGTTTGTCGCACCCTAAGGATGCTCATCGTCTCCATGTCCGTTCAACACATTATACATCTCCAACAGGAACAGGGCTTATTATTGTTCAGGATGGACAAATAGTGGCTTAAACAGTAAAGGAACAGCGAGTTTTCTCCTCACAATCGCTCCTTATACGCCCGCGCTCCTCAGTAACCTAGCATCCTGGCAAATAAACACTATTTAGATAAAAATGGCAATGCTACGGAAGAGGATTAGGGCTACTGGAAAAACAAAAATAAATAATTTACTGATTTTTAAATTTCATTTCAGTATAATATGAGAAGAAAGTCGGAATTCTGACTTTAATCTCAGAATTCTGACTTTAATCTCAGTATTCTGACTTTTTCCCCCCTCCAGTATTCTGACTTTAATCTCAGTATTCTGACTTTAATCTCAGTATTTTGACTTTAATCTCAGAATTCTGACTTTTTCCCCTCAGTATTCTGACTTTTTTTTTCCCTCAGAATTCTGACTTTAATCTCAGACTTCTGACTTTTTTCCCCTCAGAATTCTGACTTTTTTCCCCTCAGAATTCTGACTTTTTTCCCCTCAGAATTCTGACTTTTTTCCCTCAGAATTCTGACTTTTTTTCCCTCAGAATTCTGACTTTTTTTCCCTCAGAATTCTGACTTTTTTTCCCTCAGAATTCTGACTTTTTTTCCCTCAGAATTCTGACTTTTTTCCCCTCAGAATTCTGACTTTTTCCCCCTCAGAATTCTGACTTTTTTCCCCTCAGTATTCTGACTTTTTTCCCCTCAGAATTCTGACTTTAATCTCAGTATTCTGACTTTAATCTCAGTATTTTGACTTTAATCTCAGAATTCTGACTTTTTCCCCCTCAGAATTCTGACTTTTTTCCCTCAGTATTCTGACTTTTTTTCCCTCAGAATTCTGACTTTTTTCCCCTCAGAATTCTGACTTTTTTCCCCTCAGAATTCTGACTTTTTTCCCCTCAGAATTCTGACTTTTTTCCCCTCAGTATTCTGACTTTTTTCCCCTCAGTATTCTGACTTTTTTCCCCTCAGTATTCTGACTTTCTTCCACTCAGTATTCTGACTTTTTTCCCCTCAGAATTCTGACTTTTTTCCCCTCAGTATTCTGACTTTTTTCCCCTCAGAATTCTGACTTTAATCTCAGTATTCTGACTTTAATCTCAGTATTTTGACTTTAATCTCAGAATTCTGACTTTTTCCCCCTCAGAATTCTGACTTTTTTCCCTCAGTATTCTGACTTTTTTTCCCTCAGAATTCTGACTTTTTTCCCCTCAGAATTCTGACTTTTTTCCCCTCAGAATTCTGACTTTTTTCCCCTCAGAATTCTGACTTTTTTCCCCTCAGTATTCTGACTTTTTTCCCCTCAGTATTCTGACTTTTTTCCCCTCAGTATTCTGACTTTTTTCCCCTCAGTATTCTGACTTTCTTCCCCTCAGTATTCTGACTTTTTTCCCCTCAGAATTCTGACTTTTTTCCCCTCAGTATTCTGACTTTTTTCCCCTCAGTATTCTGACTTTCTTCCCCTCAGTATTCTGACTTTTTTCCCCTCAGAATTCTGACTTTCTTCCCCTCAGTATTCTGACTTTTTTCCCCTCAGAATTCTGACTTTTTTCCCCTCAGTATTCTGACTTTTTCCCCCTCAGTATTCTGACTTTTTTCCCCTCAGTATTCTGGCTTTTTTCCCCTCAGTATTCTGACATTTTTCCCCTCAGTATTCTGACTTTTTTCCCCTCAGAATTCTGACTTTAATCTCAGTATTCTGACTTTAGTCTCAGTATTTTGACTTTAATCTCAGAATTCTGACTTTTTCCCCCTCAGAATTCTGACTTTTTTTCCCTCAGTATTCTGACTTTTTTTCCCTCAGAATTCTGACTTTTTTCCCCTCAGAATTCTGACTTTTTTCCCTCAGACTTCTGACTTTTTTTCCCCTCAGAATTCTGACTTTTTTCCCCTCAGAATTCTGACTTTTTCCCCCTCAGAATTCTGACTTTTTTCCCCTCAGAATTCTGACTTTTTTCCCCTCAGAATTCTGACTTTTTTCCCCTCAGTATTCTGACTTTTTTCCCCTCAGTATTCTGACTTTTTTCCCCTCAGTATTCTGACTTTTTTCCCCTCAGTATTCTGACTTTTTTCCCCTCAGTATTCTGACTTTTTTCCCCTCAGTATTCTGACTTTTTTCCCCTCAGAATTCTGACTTTTTTCCCCTCAGAATTCTGACTTTTTTCCCCTCAGAATTCTGACTACTTTAATCTCAGTATTCTGACTTTAATCTCAGTATTCTGACTTTTTTCCCCTCAGAATTCTGACTTTAATCTCAGTATTCTGACTTTTTTCCCCTCAGAATTCTGACTTTAATCTCAGTATTCTGACTTTTTTCCCCTCAGAATTCTGACTTTTTCCCCCTCAGAATTCTGACTTTTTTCCCCTCAGAATTCTGACTTTAATCTCAGTATTCTGACTTTAATGTCAGAATTCTGACTTTTTTCCGATCAGGATTCTGACTTTAATCTCAGTATTCTGACTTTTTTTCCCTCAGAATTCTGACTTTTTTTCCCTCAGTATTCTGACTTTTTTCCCCTCAGAATTCTGACTTTAATCTCAGTATTCTGACTTTAATGTCAGAATTCTGACTTTATTTCCCCTCAAAATTCTCAGATCTCAGAATTCAGACTTTAATCTCAGAATTGTGGATCTTAATGTAGATGGGCACCAAAAAGGAAGAGATATGGCCGTTGTTTGGGAGGGCCAGTAACACATTGGTGGATAATGATGCAATTAGGCAACTTTTTACGTGCCCGAGGGGTCCCCGGTGATGCTATTTCATTAATGAAAGAGCAGAAGGTGATTAAAACAAGAGAACTACTCTCTGTAAAAAAGACATGGCTACAGCTTGATGCTAACATGTTTGTTAGCTGTCAGAATTCAGTCAGAATTCTGAGGAAATAAGTCTGAGATTGAAGTCAGAATTCTGACTTTTTCCCATATTAAACTGAAATAATATTTAAAAATCATTTAACTTCTTTTAGTTTTTCAGTGGCCCCTAATCCTCTTCCGTACAATGCTGTTCTAAATACATGCATTTTGCCGATTGTTATGTCTCTGTGATATAGGTTTGAGAATATAGTTATTATATAGTTATACATAGTGTTACCCTGCAGGAGGAGGTAGAAAATCTTCCTGTACTACTCTTAGGTAGATGGGTTAAATTCAGAAGACACATTTTGTTGGAATATACAGATCCAGTGACAAATGAAATCTCATATTGCAGTCATTTCTTCTGTGTGTGTAAAAAGCTTATATAATTGGTTCATGGCAATAAATAGTATTACTTTAAACTGGATATTGAAACAAACATTTCAAACCACCATACAAACCGTGCATCAGTCTGATCAATAGGACATAAAAATATTGGATTATTTTCTCAATCTTTATTGTATTTGGAGGAAGTTGGTATTTTTTATATCTGTCTTTTTATCTTATAGTTTTCTAAAAAGGAGGGAAATAAACCTAACAATTCACAGGGACAGGAAAAGTTATGTTTGTGAGCTGAATGTCTAAGGAAGTATATATAAATGCAGAAGAGCTAGAGAGTACATGAGATACAATAAGATGGCAGTGAGTAGACTAATCCAACCCACATTATCCTGACTCTTATCTACTTCTCTTTATAATCAGAATTGCTTCAACATTTATGGTGAGGTTCAAAACCTCAGCCACTAAAATTAACAACGGGGTGTGCATAAATTCAACTGGTTAAATATCTTCTTTACATACATGAATAGGGCTGATTGATATCAACCAATGAAGCTATTTTGATTTTATTATTATTTTCTTTCGCATTAAGGAAAAGTATGTAGCTAGATTAGCTCACTTGTTAATCAGAATCAGACCTACTTTAATAATCTCAGAGGGATATTACAGTTTTAGTACAACCGTTCGTCACAATGCATCACATACAGGTGCTGGTCATAAAATTAGAATATCATGAAAAAGTAGATTGATTTCAGTAATTCCATTTAAAAAGTGAAACTTGTATATTATATTCATACATTACATACAAACTCATATATTTCAGATGTTTATTTTGTTTAATTTTGATGATTACAAATGACAACAAATGAAAATCTCAAATTCATCATATCAGAAAATTAGAATATTACTGAAGACCAATAAAAACAAAGGATTTATAGAAATGTTGGCCAACTGAAAAGTATGAACATGAAAAGTATGAGCATGTACAGCACTCAGTATTTAGTTGGGCCTCCTTTGGCCTGTATTACTGCAGCAATGCGGCGTGGCATGGAGTCGATCAGTCTGTGGCACTGCTCAGGTGTTATGATAGCCCAGGTTGCTCTAATAGTGGCTTTTAGCTCTTCTGAATTGTTGGGTCTGGTGTATTGCATCTTCTTCTTCACAATACCCCATAGATTTTCTATGGGGTTAAGGTCAGGAGAGTTTGCTGGCCAATTAAGAACAGGGATACCATGGTCCTTCAACCAGGTACTGGTAGCTTTGGCACTGTGTGCAGGTGCCAAGTCCTGTTGGAAAATGAAATCTGCATCTCCAAAAAGTTGGTCAGCTGCAGGAAGCATGAAGTGCTCTAAAACTTCCTGGTATGTGGCTGCGTTGACCCTGGACCTCAGAAAACACAATGGACCAACACCAGCAGATGACATGGCAC